ACACGTTTGATTGCCAGCCTGTTCATGGTAAGATAGCCTAAGAAAAACAGCGCCACCATCCACAAAGTTATTAATATGCACTGGTCTGGGTAATCTTTTCCGATGGTGTGAAGGACAAACAGCTCTTCCCTGAAATGCAATGAAAATATTTGAACTTATACAACTAGGCGCTATCTGAACGTTTCCACAACATCTGTATGATTCTTACTTAAATATTCTTTTAGAAAGGAGCCTTGTAAACTAGCATCCTGCGTAGTCCTTTTGAACGCAACCTTCAGTTCTGCATTTTGCTCCAAGTGAAGAATGAATTTTCTCCCAGTGCCCAGAGTCTCTTTGCAGGGTGAGATTAACGGCATATAAATTAAAACATGGCTTTGTCTACAGTGGAAATCCTCTTTTTCTCAGTTTGCTTGAAGGGTGACAGCATGCGGTTTGAACTATCAGTTCTCAAGAACGTGTCACAAAATGCTCGCAGTTGCAGAACAGAATTGCTGGCATCGATGTACTTGGATGGGTTTGAAAGAAAGAGGCAGGGGATACCAGCAGCATCCTGTGTGGGCGTGCATTTTTTTTAAAAAGGCAGGACATTGGATAGGTGCATCCCTACGCCCGCTGCTATGTAGATGTCACGGTTCCAACAGATGAAACTCTTCAAAGAACTTCGAGGCATTGTTTATCTTAAAGAATCTTTATTCAAGTTGCATGGCATTGGCAGGTACATGGTTGAAGCCAAATCTGAATTCCCCTCCCCTGAGCACATGGTATCAAAGCACAATTCCCTCCTACAATTAACTGTCATAAATCACATTCTCCAATTAGTTTGAAATGCAGGCTTTCCCTCCTGTTTTCTAACCCGCCAATTCTTATCATCTCTTATTTCAAGCTCTGAATTCACACACTAGTACAGTATTGTTATATCCAACTAACTCCCACCACATTCCGCCTCCTCCCCCAGCATCACCTAATTCTAAGAGTAAAGCATAAGAAAGAAAAAGGCTGCATCTTCGCATCCTCATATGTTGTCAAAGCAAGAACATCCAATGTTAGCCGCATTGACAGTAGACACCATTGATTAGACCACATCTCTTTGCTCAGATTAATCATAGGATAAAGCTGCTGAATTTTACTTCTAAGTAGGTACGGTAAGGATAAAGCGGATTTTACTCCGCTAGTCGTTGCCGACTCTAGGGGCTAGTGCTCCTGTCCGTTTCAACGCCATTGAGCCAGCGCTGTCCGAAGACATTCCCACGGTCATGTGGTCAGCATGATGTCACGGAGCGCTGTTATCTTCCCACCAAAGTGGTACCTATTTATCTACTCGCATTTGCATGCGTTTGAGCTGCTAAATAAGATTACTTCTAAACATTGGGAAAGAATTAGAACGAGATAGAATGGCTTTAAAGAAGATCTTTCCTTAGAAATGTTCGTGCTTGTGTTTAAAAGTAGGCCTCTGTGTTTTAGCTTCTTTTTCTTTCCTTTCTCAAGAGCAAGCAACTCAGAATCAGACTACAGTTCTCGTTGTGACCTGCGGGACCGTTAAATTTGATGGGAATAAGCAACAGTACTTCAACCAGAACTTCTTGCTAACAGAACAGACCACGAATAATAACACAGTCTGGAAAGTCATGAGTGATTGTCTCCGTTTCCAAGAAACCCCTCATTAGTGAGAGGAGCAACCGTGGGTGTCTTCGTCTGGATTTTTTATTTTTATTTTTTAAGTAGCCCTGGCTTTTGGGGACGAGCCTATTGAGTATGGAAATTCATCTGTCTCTCCACACCTCTTTGTACGTTTCGCAGCTTGTAGAATACGTTTTGTTTTTTAAATGAAAGAACTTCCTTGCTTTCAAGGTTTCGTTAGGCTGCATCGCAACGAAAAGACTTCCAGTTTAATTATATTGATTAGCTCTTTAGGTGACAGTGGAATCAATTTTGTAAGTGTTCTGTGCACTTTCTGACATTAACAGATTTCGAATTTGATACATGGCGGACCCTCCTCCTCCTCTGCATATTTGGGGAGAAATGCTATGAGGCACAAGTTTTGTTTACTTCAGTGAGAATTAAAAATGATGGTGGGAGAGACAAAGGTTGTGATTCACGAGGTCTTTTGGAATTTGTGGGTGTTGCTGAAACAAGTACAAGAATTTTGCTACAGGCTGGGCAAAGCAAGTGTGTGGCCCATTTATTCCCATGGAATTTCCCTACATGTTTATGCTGTTCTTAACACGTGTTTGCCTTTTTCATTTATTCCATAGCAGTAATTGCTTCAGATTCCAGTATTGGGAGGAGAGAGAAAAAAAGGTCTTATTAAAAGGGAAAACCCACCTAAGGGAGTCTTTTTAATTGTTCTCTACATTGTTCTTTATTTGTCATTTTTCACAGTGAAAAGTCCGAACATTTCTGAGCAGTTTCGGACAGGGATAAATAAATTTAATGCGATAGAAAATACCCCACTTTTCTCTCTTGCATGAGGGTTTTCCCTTTTGTTCCCCAAGTTTTCCCAATGTGTAGGAAAAGTGCTTGGTGCCTGTTATATTACCTTCCCATGCCGCACCAATCTTCCTTCTTCTTGTGCCATATCCGTTATCGGATGTTGGCGATCATGTTGGGGATCCTGTTTTTATCAGCAGCCGCACGAAAAAGTGCTGCTGAGTTTTGTCCAAACCAGTCCCTTAGATTTTGAAGCCACAATGTTCTTCTGCCTGGACCTCGTTTTCCTTCCATCTTTCCCTGGAGGATTAAATGGAGTATGCCGTGTTTTTATGGGAGTCACATCACGTGTCCGAAATATTCTAGCTTTCGTTTTTTAATTGTTTTGATGATTTCCCTGGGCTTTCCCAGGCGGCTTATCACCTCCTCATTTCTGATCTTGTCAACCCAGCTTATGCGTAACAGCCGCCTGTAAATCCACATTTCAAGTGCTTCTAGTCTCTTCAGGTGGCCTCTGTCAGAGACCAACTCTCTACTCCATAGAGCAGGATAGAAAAAATATAGCATCTGACAAGCCTGATTTTCAGTCTTAGGCTTATGTCGTGACTGCAGAAGACTGCTGTTCAAGCTTTTTCTATGACCAAATCCAAGTCCTGTATAATATTTGAAATGTCAAACACTTCTGCTCCCACTTCTCCAGTGCCACAAAATTTGAATAGTAAGAAGCATTGCAGGAAGAAAATTAACACTGAAAGCTTTCTACGGAAGTCTCTTAGTTGGGCATTTGTCATTTTATCATCTAAGACTGTTCTTTGATTGTCAGTTTGGGAGCAGCAAGAGATCATAAAATGGTGAATGCATGAAAAAATTGGGAAACTTATTGCTTATGCACAAGTGGTCCTCAACTCAGAACCATTAATTGGGCAACTATCTGAAGTTAACCCTGAAAAAAGCAATTTATGACCGGTCCTCGCATTTATGACCTCTGGAGCATCCTTGTGGTCACATGTTCGAAATTCAGGCACTCAGCAACTTGGATGTATTTGCAACAGTTGCAGCATCCCAGGGTCATGTGATCACTATTTGCATCCTAGCCAGCTCCTGGCAAAGAGAATTGGGGAAGCCAGATTTGCTTAATGACCGTACGATTCACTTCACTGCAGTGATTTGCTTAATAACTAGCAGAGAAAAGGTCGTAAAGTTGCTCACTGCTTAGCAACGGAAATTCTGGCCCCAGTGCTGGTTGTAAAGCAAGGAGTACCCATAGTGCAAAGATCACACGGAGAGATGTTTTGGCGATTGACAGTATGTCGGTGGGCCTTCTTCAGCTGCGCTGGTGACATCCTGAAGGGGATGTGGATGCTGGCCTGTTTCCGTGGCCTGTATGAATGTGCAGCTGTAAGGTGGCTCTTCCCCCAAAGGCAATTCTGAATTAATTTGATTAGTGTCATAGAAACAGGTTTCACAGCTAAGGCTGTGTCCTATACCAGGGTTCCTCAACCTTGACCACTTTTAAGACTTGTGGACTTCAACTCCCAGAATTCCTCAGCCAGCTTTGGGAGTTGAAGTCCACAAGTCTTAAAGTGGCCAAGGTTGGAGACCCCTGTCCTACACTTCTCATAGTTGCAGTAAAATTTTAAAAAGGGCCTTTGCATGCTTTCCAATTCAACAAAACCTTGGAAACTAATTATCTAAAGGGGTTTGCTACTCTGTCGGACATAAAAGTAATTCGTCAAAAGCAAAAGGGGATGGGATCAAATTTGATGTGGGGGGAGAGCTAAGCAGAAGAAAGGTCCAAATCTGAAAATTGTGCGGGAGGGGGGGGCTATGCAAGAAGTAAAATTTCCCAGGGCCTGTCTTTAGGGTGGACGATTTGGATAACAGCTTGAATGATTGCCGACTCCTTATTCTAAGCCCTGCTCCTGGTCACGTGACCCAGAAGAGTAGATCTCTGACTTGTCCCGTATTTACGAGCACGCACAACTTTCAGAGATCCGCATACCAGGCAAACGGGGAGCACAAATGCAGGTGCGCAGGGGCAGGAAACACACCAGCCCATGGGAAGGAAAGGCGTGCAGCGCAGCGAGAGCCCTGGTGGCGCCGTGGTTAGAATGCAGCATTGCAGGCTGACTCTGCCCACTGCCAGGTGTTCGATCCTGATGGAGCTCAAGGTTGACTCGGGCTTCCATCCTTCCGAGGTCGGTAAAATGAGGGCCCAGATTGCTTGCATTGCAAACCATCCAGAGAGTGGCGTAAAACACTACGGGACGGTACAAAAGTCTAAGTGCCGTTGCCATTATACACGTAGATCCAGAGAGGTAGTAAATAGAAATTCCGTCATAAGGTTTGAGATGAGCTGGATTCCAAGAAGAACCTGGCTAGGTTTCACTTACTCAAAGTAATAGGGAAAAAGATCTTTCCCAGGGCAATAAATGCCTAATTATCATTAGATACAATTACTCCAAAGGGCAAAGCTTTATTGATAGGAAACTGCATTGAAAGATTTCTGAAATCAGTCAGTAAGAGCTCATAAACCACTCAGGTATTTATTACCAGTGGATTCCATTCTGTCCATGAAGAGATCTTTGTAGGCACATTTTAAGGTTTTATTTTCAGCATGTAGCTTCTTTTTAACTTACAAGCTTCCCCCCTCCCCGCCATATGTTCATACACTTATGTAGAAATTGTATTGTACCCCTCTGAATCCTTTTTGAAGGTACAAGAAGAAAGCATCCTTACTAGGTTGAAAATAAAACAAGTCTAAAGAAAGCAAAAGTTGTAATGTTAAAAAATATATATTGGGAAAACAAGCATGTTCAGAGCCACCTGTGAAGGGGTTTGTTTCCAGTGGAAATTTATTCTGTAATATTGGGATTAATCAATGCCGAAGCAAGACATTTAGAAGGGAGAGTAGCCCATCCAATGTTGCTGTGCATGTCATGATGGAGAAAGTACCGCTCCGATAAATATTCACACCTAAGGGCATTGCAAAAGAAATTTAGTTGGCAAATGTGAAATTTGCATGAGAATATTAAGGCCCTTTGTTGATGGATGAAAATGGGATCTGCCTCCCAGAAGACCATTAAAATCATAATGGCTCCTTGGTGCTCTCTGAGCTTGCTTGTTTTCTTGCAGATGTTTCATTACTCAAACTTGGTAACGTCAGTGCTAGCGATGAAAAGTCACTCGGCACTTGAGCAAGCATGTGGTCACCACTAAAAAGTGCACAAACGTATTTAAGACTCCAAATCACAGCTGCCAATTCTTTGGCTGGTGTTGCTGTCATACACATCAAGCCCTTCCCAAGAACCTGGGATGTCATAATGCAGGGGTCTCCAACCTTGGCAACTTTAAGACTTGTGGACTTGAAGTTGAAGTCCACAAGTCTTAAAGTTGCCAAGGTTGGAGACCCCTGTCGTAATATATTGGCATAGATTCACTGNACACGTTTGATTGCCAGCCTGTTCATGGTAAGATAGCCTAAGAAAAACAGCGCCACCATCCACAAAGTTATTAATATGCACTGGTCTGGGTAATCTTTTCCGATGGTGTGAAGGACAAACAGCTCTTCCCTGAAATGCAATGAAAATATTTGAACTTATACAACTAGGCGCTATCTGAACGTTTCCACAACATCTGTATTATTCTTACTTAAATATTCTTTTAGAAAGGAGCCTTGTAAACTAGCATCCTGCGTAGTCCTTTTGAACGCAACCTTCAGTTCTGCATTTTGCTCCAAGTGAAGAATGCATTTTCTCCCAGTGCCCAGAGTCTCTTTGCAGGGTGAGATTAACGGCATATAAATTAAAACATGGCTTTGTCTGCAGTGGAAATCCTCTTTTTCTCAGTTTGCTTGAAGGGTGACAGCATGCGGTTTGAACTATCAGTTCTCAAGAACGTGTCACAAAATGCTCGCAGTTGCAGAACAGAATTGCTGGCATCGATGTACTTGGATGGGTTTGAAAGAAAGAGGCAGGGGATACCAGCAGCATCCTGTGTGGGCGTGCATTTTTTTTAAAAAGGCAGGACATTGGATAGGTGCATCCCTACGCCCGCTGCTATGTAGATGTCACGGTTCCAACAGATGAAACTCTTCAAAGAACTTCGAGGCATTGTTTATCTTAAAGAATCTTTATTCAAGTTGCATGGCATCGGCAGGTACATGGTCGAAGCCAAAATCTGGATTCCCCTCCCCTGAGTACGTAGTATCAAACACAATTCCCTCCTCCAATTAACAGTCATAAATCACATTCTCCAATTAGTTTGAAATGCAGGCTTTCCCTCCTGTTTTCTAACCCGCCAATTCTTATCATCTCTTATTTCAAGCTCTGAATTCACACACTAGTACAGTATTGTTATATCCAACTAACTCCCACCACATTCCGCCTCCTCCCCCAGCATCACCTAATTCTAAGAGTAAAGCATAAGAAAGAAAAAGGCTGCATCTTCGCATCCTCATATGTTGTCAAAGCAAGAACATCCAATGTTAGCCTCAATGACAGTAGACACCATTGATTAGACCACATCTCTTTGCTCAGATTAATCATAGGATAAAGCTGCTGAATTTTACTTCTAAGTAGGTACGGTAAGGATAAAGCGGATTTTACTCCACTAGTCGTTGCCGACTCTAGGGGCTAGTCCTCCTGTCCGTTTCAACGCCATTGAGCCAGCGCTGTCTGAAGACATTCCCACGGTCATGTGGTCAGCATGATGTCACGGAGCGCTGTTATCTTCCCACCAAAGTGGTACCTATTTATCTACTCGCATTTGCATGCATTTGAACTGCTAAATAAGATTACTTCTAAACATTGGGAAAGAATTAGAACAAGATAGAATGGCTTTAAAGAAGATCTTTCCTTAGAAATGTTCATGCTTGTGTTTAAAAGTAGGCCTCTGTGTTTTAGCTTCTTTTTCTTTCCTTTCTCAAGAGCAAGCAACTCAGAATCAGACTACAGTTCTCGTTGTGACCTGCGGGACCGTTAAATTTGATGGGAATAAGCAACAGTACTTCAACCAGAACTTCTTGCTAACAGAACAGACCACGAATAATAACACAGTCTGGAAAGTCATGAGTGATTGTCTCCGTTTCCAAGAAACCCCTCATTAGTGAGAGGAGCAACCGTGGGTGTCTTCGTCTGGATTTTTTATTTTTATTTTTTAAGTAGCCCTGGCTTTTGGGGACGAGCCTATTGAGTATGGAAATTCATCTGTCTCTCCACACCTCTTTGTACGTTTCGCAGCTTGTAGAATACGTTTTGTTTTTTAAATGAACTTCCTTGCTTTCAAGGTTTCGTTAGGCTGCATCGCAACGAAAAGACTTCCAGTTTAATTATATTGATTAGCTCTTTAGGTGACAGTGGAATCAATTTTGTAAGTGTTCTGTGCACTTTCTGACATTAACAGATTTCGAATTTGATACATAGCGGACCCTTCTTCTCCTTTGAATATTTGGGGAGAAATGCTATGAGGCACAAGTTTTGTTTACTTCAGTGAGAATTAAAAATGATGGTGGGAGAGACAAAGGTTGTGATTCACGAGGTCTTTTGGAATTTGTGGGTGTTGCTGAAACAAGTACAAGAATTTTGCTACAGGCTGGGCAAAGCAAGTGTGTGGCCCATTTATTCCCATGGAATTTCCCTACATGTTTATGCTGTTCTTAACATGTGTTTGCCTTTTTCATTTATTCCATAGCAGTAATTGCTTCAGATTCCAGTATTGGGAGGAGAGAAAAAAAAAGGTCTTATTTTTCTGGGTGTCACATCACGTGTCCGAAATATTCTAATATTCGTTTTTTAATTGTTTTGATGATTTCCCTTGGCTTTCCCAGTTGGCTGATCACCTCCTCATTTCTGATCTTGTCAACCCAGCTTATACGTAACAGCCGCCTGTAAATCCACATTTCAGATGCTTCTAGTCTCTTCAGGTGGCCTTCTGTCAGAGACCAACTCTCTACTCCATAGAGCAGGATAGAAAAAATATAGCATCTGACAAGCCTGATTTTCAGTCTTAGGCTTATGTCGTGACTGCAGAAGACTGCTGTTCAAGCTTTCTCTATGACCAAATCCAAGTCCTGTATAATATTTGAAATGTCAAACACTTCTGCTCCCACTTCTCCAGTGCCACAAAATTTGAATAGTAAGAAGCATTGCAGGAAGAAAATTAACACTGAAAGCTTTCTACGGAAGTCTCTTAGTTGGGCATTTGTCATTTTATCATCTAAGACTGTTCTTTGATCGTCAGTTTGGGAGCAGCAAGAGATCATAAAATGGTGAATGCATGAAAAAATTGGGAAACTTATTGCTTATGCACAAGTGGTCCTCAACTCAGAACCATTAATTGGGCAACTATCCGAAGTTAACACTGAAAAAAGCAATTTATGACCGGTCCTCGCATTTATGACCTCTGCAGCGTCCCTGTGGTCACGTGTTCGAAATTCAGGCACTCAGCAACTTGGATGTATTTGCAACAGTTACAGCATCCCAGGGTCATGTGATCACTATTTGCATCCCAGCCAGCTCCTGGCAAAGAGAATTGGGGAAGCCAGATTCGCTTAATGACCGTACGATTCACTTCACTGCAGTGACTTGCTTAATAACTAGCAGAGAAAAGGTCGTAAAGTTGCTCACTGAGCAACCATCTTGCTTAGCAACGGAAATTCTGGCCCCAGTGCTGGTTGTAAGGCAAGGAGTACCCATAGTGCAAAGATCACACAGAGAGATGTTTTGGGGATTGACAATAGCCAGTGGGCCTTCAGCTGCGCTGGTGACATTCTGAAAGGGATGTGGATGCTGGCCTGTTTCCGTGGCCTGTATAAATGTGCAGCTGTAAGGTGGCTCTTCCCCAAATGCAATTCTGAATTATTCTGATTAGTGTCATAGAAACAAGTTTCACAGCTAAGGGTGTGTCGTATACCAGGGGTCCTCAACCTTGACCACTTTTAAGATTTGTGGACTTCAACTCCCAGAATTCCTCAGCCAGCTTTGCTCTGGGAGTTGAAGTCCACAAATCTTAAAAGTGGTCAAGGTTGAGGACCCCTATCCTACACGACTCATAGTTGCAGTAAAATTTAAAAAAGGGCCTTATCTTTGCATGCTTTCCAATTCAACAAAACCTTGGAAACTAATTATCTAAAGGGGTTTGCTACTCTGTCCGATATAAAAGTAATTCGTCAACAGCAAAAGGGGATGGGATCAAATTTGATGGGGGGGAAGAGCTAAGCAAAAGAAAGGTCCAAATCTGAAAATAGTGCGGCGGGGAGGGGGGCTATGCAAGAAGTAAACTTTCCCAGGGCCTGTCTTTAGGGTGGACGAAATGGGTAACAGCTTGAATGATTGCCGATTCCTTATTCTAAGCCCTGCTCCTGGTCACATGACCCAGGACAGTAGATCTCTGACTTGTCCCGTATTTACGAGCACACACAACTTTCAGAGATCCGCATACCAGGCAAACGGGGAGCACAAATGCAGGTGCGCAGGGGCAGGAAACGCACCGGCCCATGGGGAGGAAAGGCGTGCAGCGCAGCAGGAGCCCTGGTGGCGCCGTGGTTAGAATGCAGCATTGCAGGCTGACTCTGCCCACTGCCAGGTGTTCGATCCTGATGGAGCTCAAGGTTGACTCGGGCTTCCATCCTTCCGAGGTCGGTAAAATGAGGGCCCAGATTGCTTGCATTGTAAACCACCCAGAGAGTGGTGTAAAACACTACTGGACGGTATGAAAGTCTAAGTGCTGTTGCCATTACATACGTCAGGGGTGTCCAAACTTTTTTCAAAGAGGGCCAGATTGGATGAAGTGAATGTGCTGGAGGGCTGAACATTTTTCCAAACATTCTTTGAACCATTACAATTAAATGCAAATGAATTATTTTATGCCTCTTTCCTCTCCCTCTCTTTCCTCTTTCTCTCTCTCGCTCTTTCCTTTCCCTTTCCTCTCCCCTCTCTCTCTTTCTCTTTCCTCTCCCCCTCTTTCTCTTTCCTCTCTTTCTCTTTCCTCTTTCCTTCCTTTCTCTTTCCTTTCTTTCCTTTATTTCTCTTTCCTCTTTCTCTTCTCTTTCCTCTTTCTTTCCTCTCTCTCTTT